CCCCCGAAAACCTAGTCTGGCCCCCCCCAAGAAAAAATCCTGGGTGCGCTCCTGCCTCCCTCCATGGAACATGGTTTCGAAGGTTCATTGAAGGTCCTAGGCCCCAGGCTCAATGAAGCTTGTCGTTGAGAGACTTGTCGATGCTGAGAGTTTGGAGAAACGCTTATGAGATGAAAAGCTCCATGCCATAGACAGACAGTATACCCAGCAGCGTCGTTGTCGATGCGTCCCCGATCAAGGAGACCTACAGGACGCCGGCGCCGTCTCTCAACGCAAACTTTCGCCCCTCCTGCCCCTTATATGCGTCAGCTACGCCCCCCCCCCCCAATGCTTGACCCGCCTTTTTGTTTCACCGGTTGCCAGATCGACGCCTATTCTATTCGTTCTCATTGGAGCTTCCTCCCCTGAGAGAAGATATAACTTCTAAATAATTTTCAGCCTCTGGACAACGCGGAAGAACGCAGACCACCTCTTGCCATACGCCGAGATCACAAACAGGGACCTTGGGCGCTACCTCAAAACAAGCTCGACGAAGGACAAGGCGTAATCGCGCTACCGGGCGACGTGAACGCGCCCGGAGAAAATGGCAAGGGCGTAATAGTACCAACGAATTTGACGGGCGACGCCAAACGACGCTTGGACATCGGGTGGCAGAATAACGCGTTCAATCAGTACGCCTCGGACATGATCTCCTTGCACCGGAGCTTGCCGGACATGCGCGATCCAGGGTGAGTTGAGGAGCGGTCTCGTCTGCGTTCTCCCCTTCACGCCCAATGATGTGCTTTGCGAGAGACGTATGGATGCGTGGCCGTCTCGGCGGCAGAGGAGTGCTCGTAAATGAGATTCATTGTCGGAGTGCGCTATCAAGCCTGGCTCGGACACTGCTAATAAATGGCAAGATATCCGCCTTCGGTCGGACGGTCGCCGCTCCGTTCCATAGTCCGGCACACAACTTGCTCATATGTATGCTAATTTTATGGACAGCTGGCTGCTCCGAATGAAGGGGGTAATAAGTGTCGAAAACCCGGCCGATGACACCTGCACTCAGGACAACAAGATGGCCTAGCATCAACAACAGCACGTGGTGCTTGAATGCTGAAGGGTCAACATGATGAGTGTGTCTCTTAGGGCGTCCACAATAGACTGAGGCTCCTACCCCGCGCAGGAACTGTTGTTGTCTCAAACCAAACCGAGCTTGCTCTCGAGCACATAGCATATTTGACATGAGTGCCAGGATGGTGCGAGTTCTCTTACATTCAGGGATCTGAAGAGGAACGCATTGCAGGTGCAAGACTCAGAAATTCAGACGAGATTTGCCGCAGACAAGTGTCATCATCTGTTTCCATAACGAAGCTTGGAGTGTTTTGATGAGAACCGTGCATTCAGTCATCGATCGTTCACCGAAGAACCTCCTGAAAGAAATAATCCTCGTCGATGATTTCTCGGACATGAAGCATTTGAAGGTGAGAAGGGCGGTACATATTCACTCCGCAACAGATACGCGCTAAGGCTCCGCACGGAGATTTTTTCCCCGGTCGATCTCTATGCTGGTCACGTCAAACTCGGGTAAAAACGTGTAAAATCCGATGATCTTAGGCTCCTCCGCCTCTAACAATCGGGATCGGACGTTTTTCAGGAACAACTCGAAGACTACACGAGGAAGCTGGGAATCGTCAAGATTGTTCGAGCCTCAAAACGGGAAGGCTTGATACGAGCCCGTCTACTGGGTGCCAAATTCGCCACGGCGCCAGTGCTCACGTATCTAGATTCACACTGCGAGTGCAGCACAGGTAAGACGACTGGTTCCCTGGAAAAATGGCCGATCTGCTACATATAAAAACGAATCATCTCGATTCATCGATAGGGAAGTGGGTTGATTCTCCAATGGTCGGTTCCTCCCAGGTTGGTTAGAGCCTCTGCTGGATCGAATCGCGGTCAGTGAAACAAACGTAGTTTGTCCCGACATCGACGTGATCAGCGAAAAAACATTTGCGTACAAGACGCCCAGCGGCCTCTTGAACGTTGGGGTCTTCGACATGGATCTCCAGTTCAATTGGAAACCTTACACACATAGGTAATTCGAGGCAAGACACCCAGTTCTCGCTGACTTTGTCATCAGTTGTCCGTCTCGCCCCGCTTTTCCCCACCGCGTTATCTGAGAACGCGAAAGCCATTGAAGTACGCTTTGGAAACGACGTCGAACCTAGAGGTCAATCGTGAAACCATTGGAGAATCACTCCACGACGACAAAGAACGAAGCTTTGCTTGAGACGCGACGGAAAGGGAGCCAAGAGCTGGAGGTGGACGAGATTGACTCTGTCTGATTTCAGGATGGCTCGAGCCGTTGCTGGATCGCATTGCAGAAGCCGATACAAACGTAGTCTGCCCTGTGATTGACGTCATCAGCGACAGCACATTCGAATACCCTCACCGCCGAGCGGGATACACCGTGAACGTGGGAGGATTCGATTGGAACCTCCAATTTAGCTGGCATTCGTTGCCCCAAAGGTAGCGAGACCCCCAAGGCGCCGACACCTGCGGAGCTCGGAAGGAGGATCAGGGCTCGGATATTCACTCCGAAACTTCAACTCGCCCCCCTGATCTCGGCTCTTATCAGTCCATGATCTTGATTTTTTCACTCTTTCCAGAGATAAAGACGCGCGTAAGCAATCGTGGTCTGCCGTGCCGTCGCCGACAATGGCCGGAGGTCTCTTCTCGATCTCGAAAGCGTACTTCGAGAAGCTCGGACTCTACGACAGCGGTTTCGATATCTGGGGTGCTGAAAACCTCGAGCTTTCATTCAAGGTAAAAATCTCGAGGAGTATCGGGGTTCCCACTTCATGTCAGAGAAATTCTCGGCTCTATTCTGCTGGAGAGCTCAATCACGTGCTTTGCGATCGACGTGCTCCCCGTGCGCCTGGTCGCTCGACTTCGAGGTTTATCGCCGTACATTGAAGTGGATCGTATCGTACAACTGCTCCCGCTCAAGCATACGTCTGCGATACGCGTCAATGTGATGCGGTTATCTTTGACGCAGAACAAATGCGTACCTAAAAATCCTTCATCCAATTATGAGTGGCTAGAAAGTGAAATTATGAAAGGCAGCCTCGGAGAATACGCTCCGGACGATGAGGCTCCCGCAGGACTCGCATCGACCCGCATCCGAACCGCGGCCGGGAGAACAGAATGAAGCTACTCTAGTCCGTTGTCGTATTCGTATTTACTCCGCTCTCTTGATCCGGAATAATATTTTTCCTTTTTTGTCCTGAACAGGTCTGGATGTGCGGAGGACGTTTGGAGATTGTTCCCTGCTCACATGTAGGCCACGTATTCCGCAAGCGATCGCCTTATAAGTGGTTGAAAGGAGTGAATGTCTTGAAGAAAAACTCGGTCCGTTTGGCGAAAGTTTGGATGGACGAGTACGCCCAATATTACTTCGATCGAATAGGACCCGACTTGGTGAGTTGTGAGAGTGAGCTTGCATTGGACTGAAATTAGAGCGTGGACACACTTCATGATTTTGAGAATTTCTCATTGTCTATCGCTTCCAGGGAGACTACGGCGACATTTCCGAGCGTGTCGAGCTGCGTAGATCGTTGAATTGTAAATCGTTTGATTGGTACGTGAAGAATATCTATCCCGACCTCTTCATTCCGGGTGACGCTGCAGCGTCCGGAGAAGTTCGAAACTCTGGCTTTGAAAGGAAATGGTGTCTCGACAGGTGAGTATCTGCCCCATTCTCGGCCTCTCTTCCCCGAGTGCTTTGTCTCTCAGCATCTTGGTGGAAAGTGAAGATCTAATCCTCCGAAATTCTTCCGCAGTGCCGCGACCGTTCACGCCACAGTTTCTGTGTACCCTTGTCACGGGCAAGGCGGGAATCAGTATTGGCTGTTCTCGAAAACGGGTGAAATTCGAAGAGACGAACTGTGTCTCGACTATTCAGGCGGTGACGTGGTTCTCTATTCCTGTCACGGATCGAAGGGCAATCAATACTGGCGCTACGACCCAATGGTGAGGGAAAAATTCGCCACATCGTCGATTTTGTGCTAAGCCAACTCTCGCGGAGCTGTTTCGAGTCTGACTAAGATCGGACCCTCTCTGTCTTAGCTCCGGCTTTTGTTTTGGGAGAGATGGGATCCATCCGATTTACTTTTGATGTTCTTTACAGACAAAGCAGTTGAGACACGGGAGCAGCGAAAAATGTCTGGCGATAAATGAATATAAAACGGGAGTGACCATGGAAACCTGCGGTCCGACGAGCCGACAACAATGGAACTTTGTAAACTACAATGCGTCGAAAATAATCGAGGATTGAACGCAATGGAGAAGCTCGAGGCGAGCGGAGGAGGTTGGCCGTCAGGGCGGCATTTCGGACAAAAGCATGGACGCACCGGGGGGAAAGAATTAAACACGTCATCTTCCCTTAATTCATAATCGATGTCCATTCCCTTTGGAGTTACCTCTCGGGAGTCACGGCTGCGACGATGGTGGCGATGATGAGCATTACGACGGAAACGGCTTCCAATCGGACATCAGTCTCATCCATTCGAACCGAAACACCGGAGACGTTTCAGGAAGTTAGGAGGGAATTCTCTCTCCAGACCCTCGGCTGGCTCGTCCGCAATCCGCGTCATGCTAATTCGTGACTTTACGACTCAGAAAATTTCATCCGAACGATGCTGTGGGCTGGAGCTCACTCGGCGTCGTCAATTGTGGAAGATCGCGTCTTGGTGGATGCGCATGTCCTGATCCGTGTGCCGGTCCCATGAAGGCTCTCCCGGCTCCATTGCCTGTCCGAGACGAATGCCGCTTTCGTCGGAGGAGCCTCAGCCGAGGTTTCAAGCGGGAATTCCTATCCGTGAGGGATAAACGGAAGCCGTGCTTACATGAGACAGTAGTAGGTGCTCGGGGCCCCAGGGATATAGGGGAGAGACCCTATCCCTGTTCGAGGGGGAAGAGCGCTGCGAGGCCCGGTCCTCAACTTGTTGTTGTGATACTTAGTCAGTCTTCAAATTGTGTTCCCTGCGCCGATGATGGCACAGAGGGAACTCAGAAGAGAGGAGGACATTGCAATTGATTGAATTCTAATGAGAGAGAGTTCTAATGCAGACGATGAGAATGAGGTGCAAGAGAGAATGTAATATTTTCACGTTGAAGAAGATCTCTTGAAGTTGACGCATCTGGTAGATTCCGTGCCTTGGAAGTCAAGTCCTATCCCGATTTTCAATGCACTCCATGATGGAAGGGGGAAGGGAACGAAGAGTGAAAGTGCGCCCCCTTCCCAACCGTTGTTGGTCTTTCCCTTGTAAAATACACACTACTTCATTAATTTTATTATTGGGACTTCCATGCCAAACCGCGTCGTGATGTGCCTTATGGAGGATGAATGCTGTTTCTAATAAAGACTTATCGAATGGAGAGGAAAACCGAATTTTCGAGCCAGAGTACTGTTTCCCATTACAAGGATCACGCAATGATTTCTGAGTTTACTGGCTTTTTCTTAGATCAAATCGGCGGGACATCGGGAGAGGGGAACGAGCTCCCGAATTTTCTCAGTTCACTGCATGCATCCGGGTTTCAGGGCTTCTTTCTTCAGAGGTCGTCAGGGCTTCCCGGGATTCTCGGGGCATCTCGTCGCAGCTGATGTGACTTGAGATGGGCATCCCGCGTGCGCTCTGTGCATTCTCTCGTGAAGCTATGCGTGAGTGCGAGCAACACAAGAGCTGACTAGCTTGCGAGCGATACGAAAACAAATACGAGCGGCCCAAGAAGGACGGAATGGGAGATGTACGATGACCGGTCACGTAATATTCAGCGCATACGCCGAGAGCCCGAGCGAGGGCGTCGTGACGGAGATCTCTTTCTAAAGAGGAGTATTACTTGTCGTAATGCGTTTCCTCGGCGCTGGCCAGCCCCGGGGGCACACTCCGCCGACGACGCTTCGTCCGAGTGCTCCGTCTGAATGAAGGTAAGTTAGCGTGGAGAGTGGGTGTATATCGTTCTATGAGTTCGTCCGCGTGGCCGACTCCGCTATCTATCCACCCACCTATCTGAATGCCAAAAAGAGTCCATCGCTAATGGCATCGCACAAACGACATCAAAGGAGGTATTAGAGATCTCTGCGAATCTCTCTGGCAGACAACGATGCTCATGCACCCACACGTCCCACCGTAAGGTTCCGACATTAGCAGCCATCACCGTCGGCGGAGGATGATTGGCGTCATTGGAAGCGCGATACCGGGACCGAGTGATAAGGGTTCTCGCCCCCACGGGCTTTCCATGAGGAGCCGGTATGAATGAATGCCATGTTCACAAGTGCATGTGTTGTCGCGAGGACGACAACAACAACAGCAGCAGCAGCACAATGAGAGCCCCCGAACTCGGCCCATTGTGAGACATTAGGGTGGCAGGATATACATTCGAACGCGCCGGAGTTGGTTCCATGCCAGCTAACTCTTCTTAATGGTCGCTCATTTATTTCTCTAACCCTTTGGCTCCGTGTTCGGAGCGGCCTCCGCCGCCGTCCACAGCGCCGGCGGCGCCCACATATGTGAGACTCGTTCAAGGGCCGTCCGCGCGCTGCCTATGGGCCTCTGACTTGGACTAGCATGCATTGCCCCTGAATGCAGCTGCTCGCAACTGCCGCTTCGACGCGCGTTCATACAGCACTATCGTCGCAAACGATCCGCCCCTATATGTCTTGTTTAGGGCGAGCAATTCTTTCTAAGCTGTGCTGAAGAGCAGCAGCTACAGCAGTAGCATCCCCTAAAGTGCAATCGCTACGATGGCCCGGGTTAGAGAACATCGCATCCCATCCGGGCGATCCGAGAGGGAAATAAAGTCCCGGATGGCGCAAGGCGATGGGAAAAAAATGTAAAATCTCTGAGCTGGGAAGTATTCGCTTCGCTAGTTAGATTGTTCTTTTTTCGGATATTTTCGGACACGAGCATGCTCCGAGTCAGTGCAATCAGCCAGATGCCGAGTACTCGATTCGTTCACATTAGACGCCTTAGATGGATTGCACTGGTCTCGGAGTGGATGGGGTTCGCCGAGAAAACCGGAGCCAGACTCATCAAGACTAATATCGCTTATTGCAACCATTGACGTTAAGTGGTTTTAGCTCTATCGGCGGGGGGAATCCCCCCCCCACCCCGCTCCGAATATTGCTCACGAACTTACAAGCTGGTCCCGGAGCGAAGCTCGGGCTCGAAGGCTGTACGCAGGGGGCATTCTCGGAGCGTCGCTGCGCAGTCTGGGACTCTGGGAGTGGATCTGCTGAAATTCGGCTCCGAACCATTAGGACGAAGCCGTATTTCTGGAGAAGGTACTCGCTCAGACCTCCGCGCTATGTTGATGGAAACAAGGCACCTTTTCGGATGACTATCCGAAGGAGTGAACCTCACGCTGAGCGGGAAAGGCGGTCAGGAGTCAGTGGGCTGAATATCGGCGGAGCGCCCGAAACAGCGCGCTTTGGGCCGGCGATGGCCAAGTTTTAGCTCCCCACTCGTCCGGCCCGATGTTATTTCGTTTGGGTACCTTGTCGCCAGACATCACAGAAAATGCCATTGCCACTTGCCCCTTTTCGCAAATGAAGGAGATCTGAGCCTGTCCGCCTTGGACCGATACATAGGGGAAAATGATTTTGGTTTCTCGATGTTTTATCTCAAAAAGGATTGATCGCTTAGAGTCGATCGGAAGCCCCATCGAAAGCTCTCGGCGAATGCGTTCTTCCCGCACTCCCATCGAGTCCACGTGACCATGCGCTCATAAAGTATTCGCTGGATTCTGAGGTCTAAGAATGAAATCGACAAAATTGCCGATTTATCTTTGAAAAAAAAACCGAGTTGCTCGGAGGAAGCTCTTCGCTTTCGGGGAGCTTCCAGCAGATTCGGAAGCTCTCCAGCAACAGAATCGGAAATTCTTCTAGGAGATCATACCTTCGCTTCCTTAGGGAATAAAGTGAAGGGGAAGGAGTCGAAGACCACAATCAGGTTTCATTATTATTCATCGGGCAGGACGACTGGGGAGCTAAAACTTGGCCACCGGCGGACCACTGTGCAGCGTTCGGAAGTTTCACCGGACACCGGATCCGTTGCTGCTGCTAGATCATTTACTGTGTGAGAGGACCAATGGTCGAGTCATCGATCTGGATGATCTCCGAGCCCAGGACCTCGCTGTCAATGATTCGCTCTTAGACAATGGAATGAATTTTTCACTTGAAGCCCGGCTCGGAACTTCACCTGAGATTAAAACTGTGGGGGAGAGCCTCTGCAATGCATGCTTCGCCTGCCGGGAACAGGCCTTGTTAGCTCGGGACGCATGCCACGTGAGGGGAAATTCCAATGGAAAAGATCGATGAACTCTAGCGAGGGGTGCATACGAATGTTTGGCAACTCGAACTTAAGGGAGCGTACCCTACTTTAACGATGCGTCAGTCCCACTCGAATCATTCCACAAATCAAGAGGCAACTTCTGCAAGGCGTCTAATTGGAAGTCGGGCGCTTAACAAACCCCCACGACGACCACACGGTAGCTCGGCAACGAAGCCTCAATGTGACCTTGACCGATTAAGCGTCAATCGGTACCAGTCTCGGCATGCCTCTCTTTGGCAATCTGAATCGTCGTGATCTTGGGAAAATTCGTTCTCCTCTCGACAAAATACACCAGGAAACAGAATCGGAGGAACGTTGTGACGTCGGGACTCCCTGGCTCCCGAAGCTCCGGACAATCCAATATCGAAGCAGCGATATCCTCGAACGACCCCGGTGCGAACGGGAGCAGGCACCTTCGATATGGACCTGCGCGGATTTATCGTCGCCCAGCTTGGACACGAGCCAGATCTGACCGCCGCCCGTCGCAGATGCCCGTCGTCGAGATATACTCGCCGATAAAGAACAAAAACATCTAAGAGGGAGGTCTACCGGACCTGCCTCCGGGCTGTCTCGAATTCACGCACCCGATTCCAGGACGCGATCGGATTCCGAAGCCACCGGTGAGGGGAGAATATATTCCGGGGGGATGTTGCGCGCAGTGTCTTCCAGACACTCTCTCGTACACAGCGAGTGAGATAGCGACGTTCGATTGGAAAAGCTGCCGCATCGATCCAGTCTCCATCGACATCGTCGTCTCGCGAGGTCCCGCGAGATTTGCTTCTTTTTCAGCTTTTGAAGAGTGGCGTGCGCCCTCGGAGGAGCTCCTCCGTAGAAACTCGTTTTGTTCCTCGATGCCCAGCACGTCACCAGTTGCAAGCAAACGTCGGCTTCTTCGCTTACTCTTATCTCGATACAAGTACGAGATTCGTCGTTCGAGAACAATGCGGATCTACAGGAATCCTGTATTTCTCCGCAACCGAATATCGCCGGAGTAACGTCGCTGGGACGAGGGCGTGGGGGACCTCCGATACCCTCGCTCGGTCTACTGTCACAGGAGTTGACAGTTTTTCGAAATTCCGGGAGTTTTGAGCTCCGTTCCTGTGAAATTTCTCAAAATCTCTCGCTGACACATTCACAGCTGAGTTCTCCTCCGTGGAATTCTGCGCGCCTCTCCTGGGACGACGCCGACGAGGGGACGACCCATAGACATACATACATAACCCTATGTTCAGTGTCCATGAGGGAGATTTCGCAAGCGGAATGAATAGGATAGAGCCCCGTCGCGAAGCAAGATGTCATAAGCGAACCCA